AACAACAGGTTGAAAACTATCACAGATAAAACTAACTTCATGTATTTAAGATAATCTGCAAGCTCTGGCACTTGCATAAGGTCAGATCGGCGACCAAGAGCGGCAGCGTCTAGATTTTGCTCCTATAAAAATAGAATATTGCTCTCAAATTGATCGCTCACAACAACAGTCCGATAGACAATAGATTTGGTGAACAATTCACGAACCAACTCGTCCAACATCATATCTACGTCGTCCTTAACAGGTCCTTCAGGCTCGGGAGAATCTCGTTGAAGTGTTGCTTGCAGCTACAAATCGCTTAATGATTCAACAGAATACATTCCTCAACATTCCCGAAGAGTATTTTATCGCATACTTGAGTTACAGCATGACTAGTAAAAGGCTTTTAAGAAGAATCTAGGTCATAAATCATCTGCCACGTCTCCTAGAAGCTTCAAAGGAGATACTAACGAGGACACCTTGTCATGGATGAGAATGAGTACGCACGTTGTTTTGGAACAGACTAAGGAGTTGGAAATACCCAAAAAATTACATTCTCTGAACGACTGGAAACGTCTCTGGCACCTCACTTAAAAGGAACAGCTAGCTTCAACTACTCCCGAAATAGGGACACGGAAGCCTTCTCCAATTTGTAAACTCCACATCAAAATAAACACATGAGAAGGAAAAGAGCAAAAGTTGTGTGGCACTATTTCAAATTAGGGATCATTTATCAAACTCGGCTATACCACATTGAAAAAAACGGCTGCACCTGTAAAGAGGCAAATAACGTGGCTTCTTCTTCGGTGTGATCAAATTCGTCCAACAGAATAGACCATTTCGCCTGCTCGTATAGTTGATTTATACGCACCGGGTCGTACTGAAACACGTCAGTGTAGGAAAACTTTGGAATGGAACAGCTTGGAATGAACTCAAGAGTATATTCAAGAACCTCTGAAGTAACAAGCACGCTGGTTTACCTTTGGATTGAGGTCAAAGAAGGTCATGAATTTGAAGCGCAATAGCACAATGTCACCCTCAAACACACCTTGCTCCATCAAAGACCTAAATCGAACCAGGCTTGGAGGGCCCATTGAAAAGCATTCTTGATCTTTCCAATTATTACCTGCTTGAATCTAGCCAGCCTCTATTCAATGCGGCTTTTTCGACGTAATTTTGTGGACGGAAAACAACCATGTCTCGATTAGCAGCCTGGCGTGGAGTGTGCACGAGAGCCATATCAAACTGCTCATTTTCGAGACCTTAATTATCTAATGAATGACAGGGTCTGCATCCTTGATTGTAAACCTGAAAACGAGTCTCACCTTCGCAGAAACTGATGCTGGGCATGATTGGCACACGACTCATGGTTACGTTGTACTAAAAGAAACTGTAATGTTGGTGGGCTTGTGATTCTGAGTTGAAAAGTATGAAGCTTGACATACAGCGCCTGGACTAGGGCTTGCTCCACGGGGAAGAGTGCCATGCCGCGGCAAAGTGCCCATCTCATGAGCATTGAAGATGTGCCCACTCGTGGACAAGGCTGGTGATTGTCCACGGCGCATACGTCCATCAATTTGAGTTTGAGAGGCAAAGATTGGAGTGGCCTTTCTGAGGGTCATCGGACCAACGGACTCCTGAAGTACTGTTACAGCTTCAAAAAATTAGTCAGACATTTAACATAGTTCATATCATGTAACCCCAGCAACGATGTTGAGTGTATGCTAAGCCGAAGGGTAACAATGTTGTTGCACCATGTTGTTTGTTGCCTTTATTGTTCTTTGAATACTCATGCACTCTCTTTTGATCCTTTTTGAAATGCTCAGGCACAAATTGTTCCTCAACGTGAAAGGACTAAAGCGATGACCTTTTGCCAAATTGAGCATTTATTTTCCCACTATTTTTTAATTTTTCTAGGACATCAGCCCTTTCTACCCATTCCTTGTAGTCTTGTTTCCAAAAAAAAGCAGAGCAAGGGTTCCCGCGCCATTTATATACATTGGTCGCAACGAGGAGCAACCACACGTCGCGACAATCGCCCTCATGAAATATGGACTATCTAGAATTGATAAAAGAAATCCTAGCGAAACGGCTAAAGTCACTGAATGTGGTTCATAAATTATGGAACATATTTAAAAAACTACCTCTCCAGGGCGAATTGGCTGAGGTCCCGATGAATTTTCGGCTTCATAAGTTCCTTTACGAAGAATGTCGGGAGGAATGAGTCTTCAAATGAGAAAACTAGCGTTCCAAACAATGTGATTAATTTGACGAAAACTACCTCTTCAGTCCTAACTCTTCAGAGTGTCTGATTCCCAAATCACGACAGAGTTTTTGGGTAGCCTTAAATGCGTTAACAGAAAAATCCAGGCGAGCCTCGATGATCTGGTTGTCAGGGAGTTGAACTCTACAAAAACAGTTTGTTTAAACTTCGCATGAATGGCGGGGCTAATGGAACCTGCCTCGCATCTTTGTGCATTGGCGTGAATTCCAGCTTGGTATCGGCTGTTACACCGCATTGATCCAGAGTCGATCGAGTATGCTGAAGCCAACGGCGCTTTTCGGGCCACCATAACGCATGATCGGACCAATCTCTTGTAACGTCTGCAACAAAATTGACTTACGACCTACCTTACAACAATTTTTATAGCATTGAAAGCGCTATACAACAGCATTTGCGTAACAAATTGGAAACTAATTAGAAATGAAACATTAGATACCATAAATATTTCAAACGAGTGTAGCGCAACTGCCTATAGCCGTACATCACGGCCGTCATATGATATATGTATGACCATTTCCCGAAATTGTGAACCAATGAGCATCGCTGCCCGTTGTTTTTATCATAACAGTGATAAAAACTATGGAGCTCGCTCTATTTATTACCTTTGCTCTTACAATATTTCGAGCAACCATGACCTCGAAACATCAAAACTTCTTTAAGGTTACATTATAGAGTCCATGAACGCTTGTGGTACTCTCGCAGAACTTCCGCTCTCGAAAAATTATTAAGTGTTCATCTTGAAGGAAAGAAATTCGGAATCATCCGATAGATTACATATGGTGAATCTATACAAACTGCCAGGCACATATGAAAAGTGTCTATGAAACTTGGTTGTTGCTGTCGTTTATGCTCCAGCTATGTTCAACAGCCTTCGTTTCACGCTCTAACGAATTATAGCGGCACCCCTAATCTTCAATACCCCATTATTAAGTGCAGCCTCTCATAGGACAATTGCATGAGCGGCCGACAGCGGGTTGTCAAATGCATGCATACGTTATGGGATGATGGCCACTATTATACTTCCCGGCAGTGCGGGTATGTAGCAGCACGCTTTTCGTACAACTCACAACAAGGGTATGTTAGCGATTTGCTGAGGAATAGAATAGGAAGAATGAATCATCAGAAAATGAAACTTGGTGTCATGCTATTATAAAGTTCTTATCATATGAAGTTAACGCAATTACAAGGTCTATTTCCAAGCAAAGATATTGGACCGAAACTTTGTTCAATTGGGCAAATAGAGACTCTCGATACAAATTTACCACGAAAGAGTTCCCAAAACTCATCCAATTCCTGAATTTACAATGTTTTATTGAGGAGAAGGATTGAAAGCCGTATGAGTGAACCAAAAGTATCCCGTTGGTCACAAGTTATGAGGACTACGTTGGAAGCTGGAGCCTTCGCTGATTTTAAATGGTAGCAAAATAAAAAATAAACAAAACGATATTATATAATCGTATTTCTCTTTAGCAATAGATGAGTTACTTCTGCATTCATAGCCATATCTAAGGTTGTGATTGATTGAAAACCTGATCCATTATTATAAGAGGCCAAGAAAAAGACGTACAGTGCCGCAACCGTGTCGCTTAGCTTCCTTTCCACTTTCTAATTTGTTCTCGAACTAGTACCATAATGAACGTCTTAAAAGTTGCACTTTCCCAAGCAATATCAGTTACTAGCAACTTTACATCATACCCTCCCTTTGGAATCGAATTGCTTTTAGAATCTTAAATCTAGAAAATGGCCAGTAAGGCATTTACAGAAGGGAGATGGGTGTCTTTCAAATGTTGTAAGATTATTCAGAATAACAGCTGTTCGATTTTTGGAAAAAGGGCGGTTGATATGACTCATTTTTCTGCTGGTAACTGAATTTTATTTGTTGGTATTCCAAGAACGAGTGTAAGAGCTTTCGAATAAAAAGCAAAAAAACGTTGGCTTATTGCCAGCACAAAAAAAAACGGCTACTGTCATCGACAGCTGATCTGAACAACAAAGCAATGGGTACATTCCTCACTAGTCTGGTAGTTCTGGTGTGAAAATCAATTTTTTCCTTCTAGAACCACTCTTAGGTGTTTTTATGCTAACCTGCATAAAAAGGATTCTACAGAAACACACTGTCACACCATCTACTTTCACTTCTTTACCTCAGGATTTTGGAGAATCTCTGTTTGCCCCACAGATTGCGACTAAAATTGGGTTTTCAGGAATGCATGCACAACCTATCACAACAAGCAATACCTCATAAAAAACGCGTTATCCTCCCGAACAATACCCATAATATAGGCACCTGAGAATCTATAGTTGTTCTCTGCGAGCCGATGTGTAATAGAAAGCTAAACGGCGTAGGTGGCTCCGCTTAGAGAAGGATCAATCAATGATAAAATGCGAAAGATGAATCAAAACTGGAGTGTCGGCATGGCCGTGCCGAACGTTATAATTACTAAAGCACTTTAAAACATTTCCCTGAACTCCGATAATACCAACGGCAGACATAAGCCCGCTGTGTAGGCTTTCAGAGGGTATAACACCGTGAGCAAATAGTCCACCTTGCTAAAAGCAAGGCCGCTCAATCAATATGAGATAAGCCCACCCCTTGTAGATCAGCTAGGAAAGTATCGTCTCAGATCGGACCTGAGACAATCTGTGGAAAAGAGAACGAATCAGATAGAAAAGCATGGCAAATATTACATTCCAGAAAATATCATCCCAGAAGCCTATCATTTACATAGTAACACGAACGGGTAAGAAAGGAACACCGCGCATACGTGCGGAGCCAAGGTCATTCGTGGTTTCAAAGAAATACCGCAATTTACGATCGCCGTTATATCACTTGTTCCAGAGACTGTTTAATACTGCATATTTTACTATTAGACGAATAGAAGAAAAGAAATGGAAAGAAGGTGTAAATAAAGACAAGGAATGAAGGAAAAAAGCGAAATTAACTGCCTAGATCGAATAACTGTTGGATTAGGCATTTATGAAGCAAAAGAAGGGAAAAAAATTTGAGTTCTGAGCTATCTAGTTTGGCTTACCGATTTCATCAACAAGTCGCATCATAAGACCACCAATGTGAAGATCACCTCGAACATAGAGATTCCTGAATTTGAGCACTGACAAGGGTTGAGAAAGAGAAAGAGGAAGTAGCTAACCTTTGGATATTCATATCCGTGACTAGAATCGGCAAAGACCATGAGCCATCGCTGGCAGCAAGGCCGTCCACGACCAGATGAGCCATTTCAAGTGACTAAACTATCATACACAATTGACGCCGCCTGCAACATGGAATCGATCAAATGACTCGTCCAACTGATGCTAAACGACTTGCACTTCACACTAGTTGAAAATGAGAACAGAACAACAGATAGAAATGAAATTCCTCTGCGATATGCAGCAAGTAGGCTCGAACAGCGTAAGCAAGAGGCGTAGAAGCCCGCGTGGGGTGCATTTACACCGTGGGCGGTTGTTTTGTGTGCCTCCACGGGCAGCAGCCCGTAGACCTCCGATGGCCGCTCCTCTGCCTCTCTGACCTCAGTTAGAAGCAGACATCGAGAGAAACCAAACTGGGTTATAGCGCGTGACCGCCTCCTCTCCCAGAAATTGTTGTTCGTGCTTGATTCCCCTCCATTCTGCAGCCGTGGTTTCACTCAAAAGGAAGTCATTTGCAAACTGATTGATTTCATTGTTCGGATTGATGTTTTAGAAGTGGAACTTCTCGTTTTTATTGCCTTTCTCCTGTTGATCGTTACGTGCAAGCAATTGAAATGTAAAACTGCGTTCATTATGAGTACGAGCTAGATAGCTTTAAGGGTTTGGGTCTTAGATCGTACCCAGGTCCACTGGACCGTACACCCATAATCGCTTATTCAATTGTTAAATCAAACGCAGCAACTCGGCCACCTGATGTTGCGCGTCAGGTATTGTTAGCGATTGTTTTGTTGGAAGGAAATACGAGGGATTGCAATCTGAAAGAAGTTATCGATGCTTCCTACGGTTTTTCTTCTCCTCCATGTGGCTGCCCCGTTTATCTGGGTACACTGGAAGATGGAGGAGAGTCAAATGGGTGGGCGGGCTGTTCCATAAGTTTATTGTTTCTCGGCATTCGGAGTTGGTTACCTGAGACAGGAAATGAGACTGGCCCCTCCCACATGGGGCCTACCCTCTCTCCTCTCCTGCTTCAAATAAAATGGAACGGCGTTTTCGTTCTTTTCGGTCCCGACCACTACCGTTTGTGGTGTCGTCACGTTCCCGAGGGCGATTATATGGTGTGATAGGGTGACCAGGAAACAGGGTGAGAAAGGTTGTATGTGTAATTTGTTTGCAAGTCTAGTCTAGTTTCTAATAGTTATCCCTGTAGCGAAGACAATATATCCAACCGGACGGAAAATTCTGCATGGAGATCCGGCGCTTACAGGGGCTTTAAGGTGGAGCAAACTGCAATGGAAGCAAAATTTCGACTACAGTATGTTCCGCTTTGCGGCAGAACCTCATTTCAAATCTCAAGTCCCAACATTCACGGGGACGGTACCAACGTGCGTCCGAGGGTGCGCGCGGCAAATTGCGCGGCGAAGTTCGTGACGATTTGTGCGACTGCGGCGCCAATTTTCGAGGCACAAACTCGAAGTAGGGTAGTCTAGTAGGGTCAGATGACCCTACTAATCCTTTTTATTTCAAATTTGGGTACCAATGATAGGCGCCAAAGTCGTTCGAATCATTACGAACTTCGCCGCGCGCATCCTCGGACGCAAGTTCGTACACATACCCCACATTCACATACGATACACCGAGAGAGTGCCTTGTGCAAGGCGTGGCGGCTGGGTGTCGTGCGACTGTGGGTGCGCGCGACAAATTGCGCGGCGAAATTCGGTGTGACTTGGACGACTGCAACGGTTATGATTTGGGGCCCAAATTGGAAGTAAAGTAGGTTAGTAGGATTGTCCGACCCTACTAAAGTACTCTACTTCAAGTCTGTGCCCCAATGATAGACGCCAGAGTTGTTTGGATCGTCGCGAATTTCGCCGCGCAGTTTGCCGCGCGCACCCAGAATCGCACGAATCGCTCGTCCCCCTGGGAGGGATAGAGCGGGTGTGGTGTGTGCCGCATCGTGACCACTTGTTCGCGTCAAAACCATAGGTTGGATTACTTTAGGGTCCTAGTTACTGCAGTGGATTTGCGCTCCCGTGAATTTATGTTTAGACTGTGCTATAAAGTTTAGTGGTAAGTGCTCCAAGGAAATGATGTGAGATGAACAGTAAGGAAACGTGTGCGCAAAGAACACTATGAGCTCACTTTTTTTCACCCGTTTAGTCGCTGTTTTCGCACATAGACCTTCGCCTGTTTTAAAGCATCGGACGGAATAGAATTTCTTCTTGGTTTGGATGTCTTCACTGTTTGCCTCTCCTTTTCTTCCTATCTTCAGCGATCTCAATGGTTTTACCTGAGAAAGAAATGATGGTTTGTAAAGAGCAAACTTGGAGACCATTGTGCTGCGCTCTCCTTTGTGCAGACTGCATCCATAGTCGGTGACGTTGATTGTGAGCAACTTTGGATGTAGATGACTAGAAAAAGTCTAACTGCACTACCCCATTTCATACTAGTTTTTTACAATAGTCAGTGGTACATGCATCCCGTTGCTTCTACACACGCACTGGTGCGAAATTTTTCATCTTCTGGTTCAATACTGGCTTTTTCCCCCACCATTCAAAGCTGATTCAGCCGATCTTGCACACGTCATCCTAGCCTTAAGCCTTACAAGATCAAAGCACAATGAAATGCCTTTTCATCTCTATTTTCCGTTTTTTCGACACATTTTTTCATTTCTTGCTCTTATTCGTGGCTGAGTTCTTGTCACAAATCTTGACTAGACGGATATTAAAGTCCAGTGACTGTGTTATATAGTAACCCGGACGCACATTCAGGTGTCTCCAAACACCCGTTACGTATACCACGCAACATAAGTTGGGCGAAGCCCCCGGGTGGGTGGTGAGGTATAGGGGGTGGGAGGGTGGAAGGAGGGTTACTGTATTAAATGTTCACTGGTCTTTAAGTCTGAACTGTCAAATCTTATTGTTGCAAGTTAATCTGGATAATTGCAACCAGGAAACCTTCAAAAGGCTTCAGCCTCATGGCCTTCTCAGATTGTAATTTGAAAATTGTCGGCTCGATTGGTATTGTTTCCCCTTGGAAAAAGTTTCCAAGCGAGGGCTACTTGATTTTTCTTTCTGGAAACCTCGTTCTCCCCAATTGAAAACAAACATATCAATTATTTACATGCTTGTGAACAGCTGTTCCAGTATTGATATCACTAGACGAAAGGACTGAGACTGACAAAGAATTACATAAAACGGACTTCATAATTGATTTCTTGTGTCTCTGTCGCCATTAGGTATTCCCTATAGCGCCGAAAAGCACGATTTCTATCTTTCTTCGGATCCAGGGATGTAATTTCAACTTCTCGTCGTCTTCAAAATCAATTTTCTTGATTTTTCCCTCGAAACATTTTGGATTATGAGCAGGTCGTTGGGAAATAACACTATTTCCAGGACTAACTTCTAAGCACGGCTTTCTGTGAACCTCGGCATAGTTGTATAGCTAACTTCACTTCACTGTTTTCTTGAGATGTTCAAAAAAGCAATAGTAAGACTATTTCCAGAATTTCCATTTTATTGCAAGGTTTGGTAGGCCCATGAGGTGCAATACGTATCAGCGATGTCATGTCTCACTCAGATAGCACGAAAATCCGTTATGAAAATCCCTATTAGGGATAGTTTGGAGCTTCGATTCGGATCTTCGAGTTGTCGTGTAGTGGGCCTGCCTAAGTGAAATTTGTAAGGATGGAGAAAAGTGTGGTGTCGGGAATCACCTACTCTGTGACTAATCGTAAGATTGATTTGCTCCCGTAGTTTGACTGAATCCATATCAGCTTAGCATGAGAAAAAGCGGGGTGTTTCAAGAAGGGCATGACCTAGTCCCCTCTAGCCGTTTTAGAAAACAGTTGGTGTTGTTCCAGAAAGCTAGGCAATTTCACAAAAATTCAAAGCCTTTTGGCTTTAATCCGTTTCGATATGCGCCACGGCATGCGACCTCCGTCGAGGATCGTAGTGGGGTTTGGAACACGTATGGTGCCTAAACAATGACTCGCAGTGGCCACCTATGTACAAGTCAGCCCTGTTATTCTGACAGACGACTATGGTACCATTTAACTGACAGTTATCCGAGGGATTGTCAAGTTTAGTTAGCACCCCTCACCCCCTCCCCTAGATTTGACTATGAAGCAGAGCAGCTAGAATCCCACAAATCCTTAATACCCGGCGAGGTCGTAGGTCGTATTTTTCCCGCCCCTAGGTGTCGCTATTTGAGGCCATGCTTTCGTTTGTTAGGAACCCGACAATCCGGATTTGTACATTGCTCGGGAACTCACCCATCAAAATCGTAAGGAGCTGAAGTAACTTTAGAGGTGACCGCCTTGCAGTGATGCAAACAAGTTAGAGCGGGTAAACGGCTTTTCCCCAACACATCATTTTCCACGCTGTCTTGGGTGATTCGTGGATTTATTCTCATTATCTTGCCTCGTCCAATTGACAACGGTTGGTGTACGATGGTTTCCCGTCGGTGCAGACCTGAACGAAGTTGCCGGTGAGCGCTTTTCCCACTTCATTTCGTTTTCCAGAGGCAGTACTGCTCGATCGGCGGATGAGTTGGCCTCACTCAAATGTTCCGAGTTTTTTGAACCATCGGGACGCATGGTAGCAACGTTTTACTTGAAACGAACTCAAAATTACTTTCTCTACTCTCGGCATACTGACAACGAAGGGATTTACTGATCTCGGAGCTAAAAGCTCAAAGACGGAAAAAACAAAAAACGCTAATAAACTCAAAATGTAGGGCCTACGTCCTAGTCCATTTTCAGCACTACAAGAGGCAGGTGTTTGAGATTGTTTATGTGTGCTGTTTTGCTTTGAACGGTCTGCACCTATGAGACCAATGCAGGCGAACTTTGGATCGATTGATATTCACAATGAAAAATAACATCAGGGCACATATATGTAACTCAAAAGAAGCCTCGCCGGCCAGGTCAATTGGAATCGCACTCCCCATGCTAGACTTCACTGGCTTCATTTGAACACTGCTAAATGTCAACCAGGAGCCTTGAATTGCTGCCAAACTTCGAGCTGAGCTCTCATTCATAACTTCTATGTAATTCTCGCTGTGGCAACGCTGCTCTGGGGGGGGGGGGGGGAGGCTCAGAGCATAGCGACGTTGGATGAAAACGCAGCGTTGCTGGCCCGTCGATAGCATTGTCAACAAAGCGCTTTCAACGAGTGGTCAGCAACGCCGCGCTTTCAATGCACGTCGTTAGCTCTGAAAGCGCCCGGTGACTGCTCAATGGCCAACATTTCGTCCCACTACAAAACCGTTAAGCCAGGTTATCATGATCTGCATTTCCACTCATGCGCCATTCCAAATCTAGCTGTCTTACTGGAGGTTGCAATTCCTGCCACCTGAGCGCCTACGGTCTCAATTTTAGTGAAATCCAATTTGATTACGTTCTTCAACTCCCTCTTGATACTACATTGGTCGCTTACCTTGGGTTCTGATGCTTCTCAGCCACGTATCCATAGCATTGTAGTCGCCGCCGCTTGTTGTCCGACACCAGTCATGCGGAACCCTCTGACATCCGTGGCTGACTTATGACTGATCAGCATTTCAGCGGACAGCATTTCCTATTCGACGTTCGCTATCTGCTACTTATTTGAGCTGCCTGGAGCAGAATATCAACGTTCTCAGGCATCCATGAATTCGCGTTTTGCTGCCAGCTTGCTGCATAAGCACTGTTCCAGTTCAAGGACAGAAGGTTTCCAGTTCAATGCATTCTTCTTCGAGATTGTCATGTTTCCCTTAGAAGTTAATAACGTGACCAGGAAGCCCTTCATCATGCACCAGTCATCAAAAATTCCATTGTTTAATATATCGATACATGGGCCTTTAGATTATGTAGTGAATAGCGGTAACTTCTAGGAGACGAGCTACCTAACAAGGCTCTGGATCGGCGTAATAGAAGCATAGAATATGTCACAAGCCTCTGCAATCTTCTAGTGAACTACTTGGAATGGACAAAAGAAATCTAGGTTCAGCATGCAGTTGAATGTTGCAAAAGATTGTGTTGTCTGATAAATGTCCTCCTCCTCTATTTTCCTTTTTTCATTTATGCCACCCAACTTCTATCCTCAACAGCTTACACCGTACTCCTTTCTAAGCTCGAAGTAAGAGTACCAGGTAGTCCTTTACAGTTTTTCTGCCAGTATTGAAGCACGTGGACGAAGGTGCTGTAGTGGCAAGTGGCGCACTATATCACGCGTATGGTCACGGGTTTGAATCTCAGATCGATTTCCGCTTAGGCTAACCGAATCTTCCATCCCTTCGCGGATTGGATAATAGGTACCAGACCCATTTGGAAAGATGAAAGCACTGACATGTACATACATCGGCTGGCCACCGCAAGTTGTTGTATAGGCCACATACACATTCATTGCTCCACTACGATTCTGAATGGAAATCGTATGCGGAGGCGCATCCCCACGGGATTGATCAGCTTCACCCTTGTTCCCTTTCTTTTCTTTGGTTTATATTCATTGATGCGGCGAAGGTATCGCCCTATTTCTTTTTCATCTCTCAGCTTTGAAAAACTGACACTTCTTTCTGTTGTTCCCATAAGGTCGGTCTCAACCACGAAAGCCATTTGAATCTACAGGTCCCGTTCATGGCATTTTGCCGACTTCTGCTAGGGTTGGCTGTGCAACCTTCTTGCTTGTTTACAGCTAATAACTGTAGCATGTCCATATAGGGATGCTCCCTTTTAATGTTATCTCTCCCTGGAAGGATCAACAATTTTTGCCATCTGACCGCGAATCAAACTTCTACTCCTCCTCCTCGCCGAGGATTGCTTCTTCCGTTCTTGGTCCTTGACGCATCCCTTACACTGTTCTTTAGCAATGGCTACCTTCTTTTATCTCTAAGGGGAATCTGGATATCAAAGATTAGCCACACTTCTCTCATCAACAGGTCTTGCATGCGAGGAATGCTACTCTCTCTCTCTCTCTGAATACTCACAAAAATTGGTTTACATCAGTTCACAATCAATTAAATCCACAGATTGAGCTATCTCCATGTGCGCTGTGTAGGAGTTGTAAATGGAATGTCTCCTTAAAAGTTGGCCATCTTTGGATTTCCAGGATGGCTCGTACTAAGCAAATGCTCCCGAATTCCTCGAGGCCACCTACGGCAATCAAAAGACAAGTTATTCCTTTGAATAGAAGACTCGAAACAAAAAGGCAGCTAAGGAAAGCTGAGGGAGCCGATGAGCCCGCGATACTGAGGGCTCTAAAACAACCGAGTGAGTTCATGCTCAATTCATTTTTATTTTGTTCATTTCGAATTTTCTCGATTTGCCATTTGCATTTTTACTTTTTAATAAAACTTCGAGCTGTTCACTGATTGATACGTTTTCCTTTTTCTATCTGGCAGTTCAGGAATTTTGAAGCTCTTTTGTTGGAAACTCCATCTAGGCCACCTTTTGCCATTATGGCAACTGTGGAGGTTCAGCGCATTACAAGAAAGGAGCTCCTTGTAGTGGAATGGTCATGTTAATTCCTCCAGTTTGGGAGCTGCCTCGAACATTTGGGATCATAGAAGCACCCAGAGGCGTTCCTGAATTGTGGAGTGACGTACGAAGTCTGTCAAAATTCGAATCAAATTTATACCATCTGTTGCTTTTAAACTCTTCCACAGTCTGCGCGCACCGTGTTCCTGCTACTGAAGAGCCAAACAACAATTAATTGTGTCAGTGTTACAGCAGTTTTGGAGTGTAGTTGAATATCACATATTACTTCCCTCCCTCTGCCCTCCACATTTAAAATGGTTTTTTACCTGTTCAATTCACTTTCAATACTACAACATCGAAACCAGCATTTTTAGAAAGAGGTGTGAAGGCGCTTCGGGAAATTCGACACTTCCAGCGCACCACTGAACTGCTTATTCCTCGTATTTCCTATCAGAGATTAGTTCGGGAAGTTGCTCACAAGGTGTGCTCGTTATTATGTTTATCTCTGAGTTTTCTCATCGACGATTTTTATTTTTTTCAAGATATTAAAAGAGCGAGGGATTACCGAGGATTATCGATGGCAGTCGAACGCGTTGCTTGCGCTTCAGGTATGCCATTTTGTATTCTCATTATTTTTCTTATGATTCACACCACACTTAGGTGATTACTGGCGAAATCGCTAACGAAGGGGTCTTCACTAGCAGTTCACATGATCCCTCTGTAAAAAGAAAATAATAAAATCAACTGAGCTTATCGTGAGCTTTCAAATTTCTGGTCGAATAAGTTCATCGGGCCGCTCCATGTCCACGTCATGATTTCACTTATACGGATAGACGGTTTTTATATAATAACATAAGCGGAGAGCTTTTACCATTCTCTCCAGGAAGATCAAAGTCTATCTAAAGTCAATCAATACCTTCAAGACTTAGTGACTGTACGTAGAAGTGACAATAGGCTGAATGCGTTAGGGAAAAGAAGGCCGAGCAATACAGCAATCGTAGGTAGTTTTTTTTACTTATTTGTTTTTGCTAATCTTGGTTGAACAGTACATGATTGCAAGGTTTCTGAATTATTTAAAGACACAGTCCACGATAACTTTGAGGTACCCGTCTGAATTCGAAAAGCGGAAGTATAGATTGGGAATAGTTCATCGGTAGTGAAGAAAGCGAGAGAATTCGCCGATTTTGAGAAAAATATGTCTTCTCAAAAGTAGGGAAAATAGAGTTTGGACGAGATTGCCCTAACGAAAATAGCGTGGAAGAGGTGCTCGGACGAGATTTCATCGTCCGAGCACCTCTTCCACTCGTCCGAGGATACACACCGGCCAATCTTTAAGCCTTTATAACTCCCTAACTAGGCCGTTTTCCGACCTAATAACGCCAGATATGGTAACGCGGAGTTATTAAATTCGTCCTGTGGGGGGATTTCAGAAACCATTTTCATCGTGAACTGTGCCTTTAAAAAGTTGTCATATCATTTCGACTGTTTGCAAAGCTAATTTTTCTTGTGTAGAAACGACTTAAGCTGCTCAGAAAGACGATAGTCAGAAGGGGCGTGGTCAATGGCACAGGATAGGTAGGAAACGGTATACCAGCCCAGTTCCTGTAACATAGACTGTGCGGTCTTTGCGACGTGTGACTGAGCACTATCGATGACAAAATGGGCAAAAACCCCTTTCGGTCACTTTTCTTTCATTGCATAACCGAGTTCCTTTGGCTAATTGCTAACTGCTGCAGATGGAAGCAGTGGCTGTGATCTGAGGGAGCAGCTCGTGGTATGGCATTCCCTTTGAATTCTGTGAATGCAGCAGAACCTTCCTATAGTGCTGTTCTTTACTGCAAGAGCATGCCTTCTCCGAGATCTTCGTGTTGTCGTCAAGTAGAGGATACATCACCTAATTCTGTAGGAACGCCCTTCGATTAGAGGGGATAAGGAGCGACTGAGTGAGACACGCATGTGACGGAGATTGTCACTCATTTGGTGCGGAATCGTCGGGCAAGAACTTACCTGTTACCGTGACCTGAAGGTCTCAAACTGCCCTGACCTCATTCAAAGAGCTCAGCAAGTTTTCTGTTCGTAGCTTGTGGCTCCTTCTTCACTCTGCCGAGAAATCGGTCGTCATCAATAGAATGAAAGAGCCAATTAATGAGCGACTAAAGGCAGCATGACTGACGAGATTCTCTCCGATTGCATTGTTGATGTTGCTTGAACGAGCCTTGGAGTCGCAGCGCCAGAAAAGATCGTTCAGTTTTGCTATCTCGGGGATCGCCGTATGGTTATAAGAAAGCGCTTTGGGATTATTTGGATATTACAATGGAACTCTAAGATTATTCTAGAAGTGGTGGTGTCCGGAGGACAGAAAGGTCTTTCAGGGAAACGACTATGCATGTAAATTTTGATCTCAGGGCTTTCACATCAATCCAGTACTAACATAAAGTCTGTTGTAACTCACATGTGGCAGAACACAGTTTAAACTGCAATTTATGTAAGAATGCAGTCCGAAAAACCTTGCCATCTGCGCCGAAGGAAAGCACGACGCAGTATATGTTCACTCCTGAAACACTGCGTTACCCCTCTCATTCAGGTGATGATCATGTTTTAAGTTTGTATATAATTGCCACATTACCTGAAAAATGCTTCACTTTTTGGTTAGTTACTTGTGAGGTTACGGTAAATCTCATACCCATTAAAACACGGGCTATATCCATTTTGAGAGGCTCTGAAAATCTTTGGTTGTAACCAACGCGGTTGAGCATAATGCTCTACGATTTTCTCTGTGATCCTAGCTGCACATATAGAAACTCTCCATCGCTCAACCCTCTGCTTCCCTTTCGCGTCTGAGAAATCTAATGGTCTTTATGAAGCTGCTGATTCAGACATATTTAGTTTCTCCGAGACTTCAAGCTCACAGTAATGTACATACGTGTCTCTGTATATTACCTATGACTGGGATTACGATAACTTGGTAGATTTCTCAATCATAGTTCAAAACTATGGCTCCTTTTCCAAGCGTAAGTATTCGATTCGGCGCTGAACTGTGAGGTACTCGGTTGTAGAATTAAAAGAATGATTCCTTCCTCCTAAACCCCTGTCATTACCTTATACAAGCCCAGAAGCGTTATCATATAGTGATGATACAGGGGCGCTGTTCGCTCAGTCAATAAAAGATTCATGAGATTGATAGAGCAGGATTAAGATTTTTCTATTTTTTTTTACAGTGTCGTCCTAGAGCCAAATGAAATATAACCTTTGTTCAGCAGCTGCTTATATTCATTGCCTTTAACCATAAAGCCAGATGTGAAAAGTGAGAAAGGGAAAACTTCGTAGTATAGTGGTCGCGTCTCTCACTATGCACCGCTTCAGTGGCCTTGCAGAAGCATTGCTATAGGCTGGAGAAATGAAGGTTTGAATGAATTGGAAGCAATTGTTAATCAGTTTTATTTTCGTTTCAGGAGGCAACTGAGGTGTATCTGACGTGTATGTTTGAGGACACTAATCTTGCTGCAATTCATGCTCGTCGTGTGACGATCATGCCGAAAGACATAAGTTTGGTGAGAAGAATCCGTGGGGAGAATGTCACTATGCCTCTGAATAAATGAGCTGATTAATTATCGGCCGGTCCACCTCAAACAGTTCTTTTCTGTGGAGTGAAAGCCTTTAAGGGGGCTCCGAGAGCCTCACTGAACTCCATCTGCGCATTTGCATTATTTTTCTTTATATTACCTCGTTCGTTGTAATGTCTTCTGTATCTAAAACGCACATGTTAATAAACGGCACTTTTAGTATGTAGTACCCAAAGATACTCATAATTCCATCTCTCTTTGGATGTATCACTTCCATGGTGCGTTTTTTAATGGCTTTGAAGGCTTTATTTATGCCTGTATTGTTTTTATGCATGTGTTGTAACCAATAAACAATAAATACACAATCATTTTTGCAACGTTCACAGGTCCTCCGTAATAATTGATGGACTGGAGCACTGAGGAGACGTTGCTTAAAGGACATGAACGTTACATAGACCGAGGGTATATGAAGATGCTGAAGGTTTGGTGCCATTGAGGCTAGCCAACTAGTCGGTATCTCCAGTGCGATTTGATAGATGCTATATCCACATTTCACGAAAAAGGGGACTACTTGGGAGGTTTGAGCAGAAGCAGGAGTTTGAAAAAGAAAAGGATAAGGGCATGGAAATGATATCTTTCCAGTAATTATTGCACAACTGCAGCTTGAAGTTTTAAGAGATATGGGTTTGCTTTCCAGGTTCCCTTCAGCTTAGGATTTCTGTTTGTGCGTTTTTGACCCAAATTCTTTACCGTGGTACACTTGGTTATTACCCGGACAATGTTACAACTGTCGCAGGACACGAAAGGAAAAGGATCAATCGGAAACTTTTGTTCAGAAAGGGATCTGTTCATTCCAGTGTTGGCACCAAATTGTACCTGTCGCGTAATACTTGGCCGGGATGTTGTACGGGTTTCATATCATCGGAGAAGGAAGGGTTCTCTTGATAAACTCGATGAAACGCTACCGAAATCTTTTTTCTTTGAAAATATCACCTGCAGTATTGGAGCTGTCGAAACCAACCGTCCAGCGTCACAGCTCGTCCTAGAAATTTTCGATTGGCAACACTTGTCGTAGATCGAGCAGCAACTTACTGACCAGTTTTTCGAGTATTAGCCGGTATCAGTAGCGAAATGAGGTTCTTGTGGCGTTTTCCATAGCAATAGTTCCATAAAGGTGTGAGTACTCCAAATCCAGGCCTTCCTGTTCAGGCCCTCGAAGCGTTGGAACAATGCGTGCACAGACTGCTCATAAGGAGTTTCTAGACCAACCAACCGACATAAATTTCTATCTACTTTGCAGCGGATTGGTCGGACTCGAATAGGGAAGGAAAGGCGTGTGAAATGCGGAGCAAAATGATTGCAGGACTAGATATGCATGAAAGGGGGAGCCCGATATGTTAGGCGCGTACAAGTAAATGGTATCCTTATAGAGCAATCCATAGAAAGCCACAGGGCAGTGTAGGAAAAACCTGGACTAATGGGAGATTTCCAAGCTAAACTTCACGGATGACCTAATATTCCACTTCAGAGCACTGCTTGTCCAAGCAACAATTCCATTACTGTCAACCACGACACCCACACCTGTAGAGTTATCCCATTCTTCTTTAGAAAGGGCAACAGCTGGCACTTGTTATGAAGAATGACATGGATCAGATAGATTGAAGACGTTATCAAATGAATCGAATCAATTAGAAGAATTCTCAGTCTTGTCGATCCAACATTTCTGTTAACGCTATTTCAAGCAGTCGTGCGGGAATACCGCTTCATATCCCTGATTGAAAAGATCAGTTAGTTCCAACGTACACATAGACAATGTACAAAAAAACCGAAAAATTTTGAAAATGTTTATTTTTTTTTTGGGGGGGAAGGGGGGGGGNGGGGGGGGGGAAGGTGGCATGTCTGTCCGCATTAAATAAATAGCAACCAGCTCGCCACTGTCCGCAAAACCCCTGGACTCTCATTTTGCTCGTGCATGGGCCTACGGTAAGGATTCCATCTAACTTGGTTTGGCAAAAAAGAAGATTTGAATCAATACGTGAAAATGAATTTTCAACAAAGAGCATTACGAAGCAAAGCATAATCGTCTGTATGATTATTCCACATAGCGCAGCAAAGCGGAATGTGGCAGAATGGCCACTTACAGTTTGCTGCTACGCTACATGAATATCTTCGAATCGATCCGATTCCCCATAAACTTTGCTATTTATGAAAAACAACTCGTCAACTGGTTCTGAACATAGGCAACGTGAAAAGTGGAGGAACGAGAGAAGCAGCAGTCCCATGGCAATGACGCCATCAACACGGGCAGCTTTTTATCGGACGCTGCTGAGCGATTCCTCTTCGCGAACCACTGGGTCCGATCGGTCTCATTCTTGGCGTCGCCCACCTTATTTACGTGATAAATCACTTACGCAAATGTGTACAATCGGAACTTGCGCTTATTTATCAGCTGCGATTTCATTCCGATGACTAGAATTCGCAGCTTTATTTCATTTAAAAGCACAGTTGTTTTGCAAAGGCTGTTAAGTTCATTTCACGGTTCGTTCATGGGGGCAATTCCGCTAGTTGTTTGTTGTTTTCTATACTGCTAATTACTTTGAGTTTTCTTTACAAAAGTAATTCATATCCCTCTTTATTTGAGCAGAATATTACACTTTCTGGACGCGGCAATACATTCGTGAACTTGACCATACTTCACGAACTTTCATCGTTCGAGTGTTGTTTTGAAACCATATACTTCACCAAGGGATGGATTCAATCTATGAATTCTCCTGTAATTCGAAAAGTGGTATATTCGCTGAAGTCGCAAATGTCGAGTAGCCTGTGCTAACCGATGTGCGCCATGCATTCGTCTTCGAACATAATTGTGGCAGCCTTTGGATATGAACTAATCTCAAACATAAATTGGCAAGTGCAGTCACTCCACTCTAAAGTTAGTTCTCATTGGACAGGTGTAGTACCGAGATAGATAATCGCTTCTCAAAGCCTGCATCCGTCTTTACCACTTTTGTTCATTTGTTTTTTTTTTCTTTTGGTTTTTTCAAATCGAACAAAGATTGTCATTAATCGAAGAAAGATTCTCACAAAAAGCTTGAACTGTCCCATTCTTCTGTTTCTATCACCAACGGCATCTCCTCAAATGCCCGTCCTTGGATTCCATTTTTCTACTAATTTCTCGACTCATTTCAAAAGGTGGAATCCATAATTGGTTCAGCCCGTTTCATGCAGCTACTGTTGAGCATTACTCCTCTGTTTCAGTAAATTTACATCTATATTATATTATTCTATAAGCTATGGCATATAAGACAATAAGGAGGCGGCGAGGACAAGCGGGGGAGGGGAGGGGGGTAGGTCTCGGTAGTGTGAGGTAGTAAGAGCACGGTGCACGAAAAGCACAAGTGTGGGTTTTAGTCCCGTCCGAAGCCGAAGTTTGTTCATAACTCGCCAGCCTTATGAGACCATTTATATTACGTATAAATGACAGCTATCCAAAATTATTCTTCTGCTCAGACCACTAAAAAGTGAGAGAATTGCGAAATAAATGTTTATTCAGGACGGCTGACATGAAATGCGCGAGCGCAAGAACTCATTCATTGATATACATATATGGCAACCAATTCGATTTGGTTTGGGGATTGCAATTATATCACATTTACCACATCAAAGAGCTCATTGATACCGTTTTTTGTAGTCATTCTGTAAAGCGACTTGAAAGCGATACAATCTACCATACACAGCATATTCATAGCTCAATCGAGCCGTGATTCTGGAGCTCAAGCCAAGGCGTCTCGCATTTGCAGAATATCGAGTTCTACTTGCATAATCTCTACTAAGAGAAGCCAGATTATTTGAAATATCAGCTGTTGATCACCATCGAATTCCGTGACGAAGCTGATCAGGGGCTGCTCCAGCAGGGCAATAGCGCTCCAGGCGCTCTTTCCTCTTGTGACCAACATCATGATAAGAGTCTACACGTAGTAGTTAGAATATTGAAAGTAGAAGAAATGCATTTCTCGGAACCAGTTTTTTCTTTTATTTCGATTTAAATTTTCATTTTTTTTATTAAATTTATTGCTTCTGTTACTCGATATTGGACAAGTGGTGCTGTCGTCAGCAAAATTCGCTCAAACTACCGGTTCTGTATAATTCAGTAGATAGTCACGTCTGGGCGTCTTCTTTCTGACATCGCTCAGCAAAGAACTGATTGCTCACCTTCCATTCTGGGAGTCATTGTTTTTGCGAATGAAGGCAATTATTAATTCGAGCCCAAGTAAGAGGATTATTCATTAACTGAAGGGTTTTCTATTTGCCTTCATCAGACGGAATCCATCTTTTCTTAACCAGACAGATTCCACCTTGTGAAAAAGCGATGATTTACAGCTACCAAAGAATCACTGAAAGTAATGGAAACGAGCTGGAACTAGCATTCCTTAGTCGCTTCATAAGGGATGGTTGGAAGAGAATTGTCTGACATGTCACTTCCCTCACCTTTGGGGCAATCCCGTTTAGTGGGCTAAAGATGGCCCCTATTCTTAAAAATAGTATTAGTGACTCATTACTTTCTGTTGGTAACCATCTCAACTGCTCGAATGACTTTTCAATCGTCATCAAATAATGGCGATATTGATTGCATAATGGACAATACGAACGATTGATTTTCCGAATTCTACACTACCATTTCAATTGGTGAAGTACAATTTCACCCATCGTTGAAACGATTATATAAATATTCATGAGTAAATTAATCATCCAAGTGAGCACGAGAAAAAGAATGTCATCGATCCATGTCTGTACTTTTCAACCACTCCGAATCAACGTAGACTTTCTCTCTTTCGAGCACTTCCTGTGCACGTATACCTCAAGACATGCTAGAGAAAGATTCACCGAACATCTTCTTCAGAAACATTCTAATAGATTAACAATAAGCGCGTTGTCACCATATCAGACCATATTTTATGAAAAAATTACTGACAGGAATGTCAGTCTTGACTTAATCTTATCGTGTCCTTTTTTCCCAAGTGATTTACGATGTAATGACGGCTTTAAGACTTTGATTGACATCTACTTCCTCAGATGTTGAACAATGCCGCTTCCTTTTTATGTTCTGAAGATAAAACTATATGGAACTGGGAAATGTCATGGTCAAGTACTAACGGCCGTCCATCGCATTTATTCTCTTCACAATGTGTCGCTGACTGGAGATGGATCAGTAGGTAAAGTGGCATGATACAAGAAATATATCGAAGAATAGAAAGTGAAGCGTTGGACAGTGAACGAACAGGTTCGAAAGCAGTATGTAGTTCCACACCCTTCCCCGAATCGTGGAATTTGCATAGAAATCCCAAAAACTTCCTTTGATCAGTAGATTCGGACTAGCGTTTATATAGTACTCAATTAGCCATTTTCGGGATACACGTCTTCTAAGGAAAGTTTTTCCTGATTTTTTCCTTTTGTAGAAAAGATATGTACATACGCTCGCGAAAAACCCCTATTATCTGCAGGATTTTTTTTTTTGAAGATTCTGCAGTCGTATCGAGTGGCTGTTTTATGTTTTTGCTTTTTGATTCTGGCATTCCAGTACTCTGACCGTCTCCCATTCCGAAAAAAAGTGCTTCACGATCGCTGCCTGCTGTGGTTACTGCGGTGATTCATCTCATGTTCGAGATTTTTAGACATTTGATTCGTATGGTCTTATAAACACATTTCATCCATGCAAGGGCTAATGGGCAGCAATGCAAACCGGTCTCCCTAGCGTTCCAGAAAGGTCAGTGCTGTTCCAATGAAGGAACAGTAGAATTTACATTTTGCAAACATTGGTGCAACTGGTGATGGTGCATGGGCGGAGCCAGACACCCACAAAAAGCTCTCTACAACCTCCAATCATAACCTCAGCGCCCGGCATGCGGGGCGAAAAGTATAAAAGGGCTAGATGGCCTAGTTGGGGGACATTTTACAAATTCTTCATGGATATGCCTCCTAGCATCACACCATACCAGGGATATGCATGGTAGTGAACAAACGAAAATTTCCTTCTCTTCCCTCTGAGGTTTCACTCTTCCGTACCCGCGTCATTCATATAGCTCAGGGCGTGAAGATATTTGCATACTTATTGACTATGCTGTTAGATTAGTTTACCTTTGAAGCTTGCTTAATTGGTTCTGTACTGAAATAGAGCACCATGAACATCTCTTTCGGTGTGAAGTTTCATTAAAATTACTTTAAGTACTACAGTACTTGTAACATCGACACTTAATCTAAACATAATGTTAGTCAGTGGCCGCCCTGCCATAAAACTTTTTACAAAGTGCCTAGGCATAGGGACGTAAGACCTGCACAATGGACCTGTCGTCGCCAAAGCGAACCATTATGCCCAGCCTGAAAATGTCGCGAAAACATACAAGAGCGAAGCATACACCCTCGCATTTTCTCAGAATCTGGATCTTACTGCTTTCATGATCAGTAGGTATCGTACTCATTCATATCTCGATATGTCTCCGTGCATGCTTCAGAGACGATATCAAAATTTTCTCAACATCTGATTGCAGCAAATAGCGTGAAATAAGGTTCTGATAAGAGGACTCGCTGATCGGTGCTATGGACAAATAAACGAGGTCGTAAACAATGTAAACATAAATGTGCGAAGTCCATATGGGTAGAAGAGTTCGCAGTATATTGGGGGGGGGGGGGGGGGGGGGGGGGGGGGGTNGGGGGGAGCCTGGTTCCTGAAATTTACTCACAAATAGACACATCTTCCTAGTTCGTTAACATCCACGAATGGTATACAACTTGCAACTTTCGATAATCTTGCGCCAGAAGCTCTTTACTATTCCAGTAGTTTTTAGGAATTTTCCAAGCATTAGATGTGACTATCAGAGATCTTGTTTGTTAAATAGGGGCTTAGAAGGTGTGCAAGAGCGCTCAGCACACGGTTGGGAGGATCAAACTTTACTCCGACCATAGGAATATTCAATCAATAAATGACTATGTCGGTTTATACGTGACCTTCCTAATTATCTATCTGGTCCGAATCCGCCTACAGAGGCTCCCCCATTCTGAAAGGTTATTCGACTTTTTTCTTCCTTTCGCAAATCGATTATATCCCGGTTTCATTATGATTTTACTGCTAACTTCCTTATCCATCTTCAAACTAGGAACTTTTATTATTACTTCTGCATGTATCACGTGAATCATGCTTTCATTTACTTTTCCAATTGTAGTAGTAACTACTAGGTTGTGCGAAAAGTATCTGCCCGAGATTCTGCGGTAGTGTGGATTTCTCTAAGAACTTTCTCGAAGCATAGGGGGTGTTTGTATATACATGGTGTCCAAAGTTATGGGCACTAATTCAGGGCAGTATGTGTGAAGCTCCCAAGCTGAAAAAGACAACGAAATCTATATGCACGACTGCTTACATTATGTGTAACAACAAGATGCGAACACATATCAAATTTCCCCAATGAGCGCCGATTGAAGCCCTGCGGCAGTTTTCTTCCCACAATTCTTTCCAACCGCTCTTGAGTTTTGCTGTCTAGGACTCCACCCAAGGCTACCAACCAGACAGATTCTCTTTTAATAAGGGAGTCAAGTGCGTAAGATCTGAGAAGCAGGAGGATCATTCCTTTTTCGCTGATGAAGTCAGGCAGCCAGCGTCGGCACCGCTAGCTTGAGCTCAGCTCTGTGGACTCGAGTACTTGGAAGGACTACGGACGGACTGTTTCAGGAAGCGAAGTCGGATCAGTGCTTCGTTATGCCCACCATCAGTATGTCCTTTGAGTGGAGGTCTTTGTCAATTTTCACGCCGGCACCGACGAAACCACGGGCGTCATACTCTTGCCAAAAAAACATCATTTTGCTGTCCCTATGGCAACTTTTTTGTGAGCTTGCATGTTCAATGTTTATAGCCAGATCGTGAGCGTTTTATTTGTTGAGGTATGGTTTAGTCGTAAAAATTTTTTAGTCAAGGAAAACGATGAAAAGTTGCGTGTCTCCAATAGGATGAATCAGCAGCGTTCTTCATTTTTTGCCCTACACTGTCTCTTGACACTGAAATTGAAGCGGCATTTCTGTATACGATTGTAACGGCAATGCATGACGACCCGGCTAACCGATGACTTGGATGAGTCCTGCTCCATTGCCGTCTTTTTGATGGGTCGCCCAGGGTCACGATCGACTCACAACCGGACCATTAAGTAGTCCTGTGTTTGGGAACACCCTTAGACTCTTCTTTCCTTCCTAGTTTTTCTTCTATTGAATCTTGTTCCCTTCAGTGTTTAATGGCCTTCTGTACGGATATTATAGGAATCACAAGGAATTTCACAATGCCCTTTCGCCTCTCCCACGTTCCATGATTACAGTAGGCAATGAACGAGCCTCCGTCATCTAGATGATAATGGAAGTTTCTATTATGTAACCATGCATATTGCAAGAAAGCATACGCATACTTGGGCAATTAACTAATAGCAATTGAAATGAATTTGATAAATTCTTTTCAGGTTTTCGAAATGGGACACTCAGTATATCATCAAGCTACCCAAACGTGTGTGCATAACGTATCCGGCTACCTCTTCCTTGCTCATTAAACCATATAATGACCGAGTTGTCTACCCAAGCTCAACACGTACTCCTTCACAAGTTCGGGTCCTTCCACTACATTGCTGAGACCCTTTTGTTTTTGACATCGAACTCCTTCTAAGTGAAGTGCACAGCTCCTTCCAACCCCTCGCAGCCAGAAACAAAAAGGTCGAAGATAAGTCCCGATCTGTCAAACCGATTGTGTGTCACCAAAAAGTGTCTCTGATTCCCAGAAAATCCTGGTAGAAATCCGGACTATTGTGGAATCTCCGGCAGATTCTTGCCGCATTACCTAATTGCATGAATTAGTGCGTAATGATTCGGTTCTCCTCTCTGTATAAACACCGCCATCTTTTTTTTTGTCTCATCCTATTGTCATTGCTGTCCTTGAGTCATCCTGCGAATTTTAGCTTTGTATAACCGTATATCGCGCCTTGCTCTGCACTTTCCTCAATTTTTAGGTTCATGGTAGTATCAAAGATCATCTATGCTTTAGTAGTCGCATTTGGTTCATGTACATGGATAGGCACGAATTCAGTATGGATGCAGCTGTCAATGTTTACTTCCGAGTTACCTGAAGGATGGAATTTACCCAGTTATCTTTCTGTCGTTGTGCAGGTGAAAACACCCTTTTTATTCGATTTGAGTGAATGTTCAGAGAAAATCGACAACCTATCTAATTCCAAGAAAAACTTCAAGGCAGCAAGCAGAACTATCAGGCTTTTGATGAAGCCAGGGACCTTCTAACAAGTTTTTGTTCCATCCAGACCAGGACTAGTAGAATAAGATTTGAGATGCTTATTAAAAAGCTTGAAACTTTCCAAGATCCTATTAAAAACGAGCTCAACATCAATTGGGTATATAACGACTAAAAATTATAACGACTAAATTACTAACGACTTCAGAATTCCACCACGAAAATAGGGGTTGTTCAGGGAAAAGGAAAGGATGAGCGGATTCCAACTAAGGATGCGCGGTCTGACTGCCTCGAATAGAGCGGACAGTTGATGAAGCGATGTTCAAAAATAAGCTGTCCCGAGTAGTAGGCGTTAGCTTCAAAAGGCAACCTTCGTTGGGAGGTGACAATCCAAGAATTACTGTGACCGACTACGACCACACACCAAGGCTTGCCCATGTCTCATGCCCAGAGTGTCCCATGTCCGAATGCGCAGCCGCGGTGTTTTCACTTGATTTTTATTTTGTGTAGTTACAGAGCCTGCCTCTTTCTTTGTTCTTTTACCCCACGTATTCATGCCCTTTTTAAATCGTAAATATGGATGGATTATAACATGAACTAGCTTTTCAACTCGACCAAAATGTTGATGTTCCTTCTAAATCATTTTGTTCTCATTCTGCTAGCCTCTAGCACTGAAATATTCGGTTTTTAGATTGCCTGCATTGGTCCACTTATATACACGATAGTACACAAAGGATGCAAAACCGTCGAGATACCTCATACTCGTCTTATTTTCATATTTCTAGTGATGGCATGTATCTGCCAATTAGGTAGGACACATTAAGGATTATTAGATTTGAAAAGAATTATCAGCGAAATACACACAGTACTTTTCGTGATGGGAAAAGGACACAACTGCTTGGTTTTGACTTGACTTGATGTTTTTGTTTACTGCTGATTTATCGCCATCGAAAGTCTCACAAGAATGGCCATTCGTGGGCAAAACTTCGGCCTCTGATGGGACTCGAACACGTACCTGTGCTTTTGCCCACGAATCGCCATCCTTGTGAGACAATTGATTGGATATTATCGCGTAAATTCGAAATTCATTAGTTTCAGGATTGGTATTTCTTTGGAAAGAGACGGTTGCAATCGGATCTCAGCGCTATTCTCTGGGACTTTATTTGCTTCTGTTCGGTTTGGCTGTCGTCGATGCCATGTCTAATGTCTTGTTTATGCCTTTTATGGCGAAGTTTCATCCGGCCTATCTAAATGCTTATTTCGTTGGAATGGGTTTTTCGTCGCTGATTCCAAGCATTCTATCCCTTATACAAGGTAACCCTGAACAAGTTACCTACATATATAATGGGAACGCAAATGGAAATTCTGAAATAGAGAGGCGCCACTAATCTAGGTTCTCCTATGAGCAGCGCAGTCGATCACCCAGGTTTCAGATTCATTTGGGAGCCTCGAAAAATTCTGAAAACCTCAAAGAGTTGAAAGAAGGATAGGAGACGGTAGATGTGTGTCAAGGTCCCCTTTCCTAATCCAGTGATTAGATTATTCTGTGGAAGTACAAGCTTATAGTAATGACTATGGGATCAGTCAATAGCAGAGTACAACAGCACAATTTTCCTCCTAAACAACGAGGAGGAAGGGGCATTGTACCAACTGAGTGTGTACTTTGCGTGAACCTACACTAAGCACTAGTCAATGTGGTTATAGGTGCTTTACCATCAGATTATTAGGGTAAGATTCACTCACCCGATGAGTAAATACAGTACAGGATACAGAGGAAGTTTTGGGCGAATTGATACGGAAATCTATGACAGTTCAGATGCTGTCACTTACTGGTACAGGTTCCAAGGCCATGAATGGCATTCAAATTTGTCTCTGGACTGCATGAATAATGAGCTCTTGCATTTACAGGATCGTCGAGCTATACTTGCGAAGGCGACGTGCCGCATTACACACCTCCACGATTCAGTGCAGCCGTCTTCTTCCTCATCATCTTCTTCTCTACTTGCAACTCGGCTGTCGCCTTTCTCATCCTCTACTTGAAAGCAGTCAAACAGTAAGCATGTTTATCTTCCCAGGCCCATCCAAACTTAAGCTTGATATTATAGACCTAGCCCTAGTGAGCAGAGCATTTCTGAAAATAACACCGAAGTGACGGAAACTGAGATAACTAGCGAGGAAGAGGTAAGACGCACTCCCTGGAAGTTGAACACCTTCTCGGTATTTGGGAAATCGTTAATCTTTGGATAGTAGATGAGTAAATCAACATAAATCTGCAGATTAAGCATGAAGGACTAGCGCTTCCGGGACGTTCCTACTTATTTATTCTGCTTACGGTTTCACTAGTGAATGCTCAAATGAATGGCATTATCCCCAGCATCTCCAGCTTTTGTGCCCTACCATATTCCCAGGTGAGCAGCCATGTTTATAGAGTTTGCTGTAGTCGATTAGAACTGTTTGTTTAGGCAACATACCACTACAGTATTGCTCTGTCGAATGTCATGATGCCTTTAGCCTCATTCCTGTCATTTTTCCTGATCGTCAGGTGGGAGATTTTCACTGCCGAAGCACCTAACGATGTCAGACAATTCTAGGGCATCAAAAGCCGAGGGGCGAACGTGTAGTGACAAGCGGGGAGCTATCACACTCGTATGGTCCAGAATCGAATCCCAGATCAATGTCCGCCCAGACCAAACAGGCCTTTCATACCTCCTGGATCGGTTAATTTCTATCAGGCCTGTCTGGTCTGTAAGGGAAGACAAAAGCACTGCTAGCCACCGCAAGCCATCGGGGGACGGTCAAGTCGTGCGTCCGAGGGGGCGCGCGGCAAATTGCGCGTGCGAAATTCATACCTATTCTGACGACTTTAGCGCCTATTATTTGAGCCCAATTTTGAAGTACAGTAGAATAGTAGGATCAGCCGACCTTACTAATTTACCCTACTTCAGATTTGGGCCCCAACGGTAGGCGCCGGAGTCGTCCAAATTCGCCACGAACTTCGCCGCGCAATTTGCCGCNCTGGGTCACCGAAGAAAGTGACGACGGATTTCAATTCTCGGTTAACAACTCACGATCTACTTAGTGAGACCTTGAATCCCACTGTATAACGTTGCTGAATAGNCAAATTGCGCGTGCGAAATTCATACCTATTCTGACGACTTTAGCGCCTATTATTTGAGCCCAATTTTGAAGTACAGTAGAATAGTAGGATCAGCCGACCTTACTAATTTACCCTACTTCAGATTTGGGCCCCAACGGTAGGCGCCGGAGTCGTCCAAATTCGCCACGAACTTCGCCGCGCAATTTGCCGCGCGCGCCCTCGGACGCACGACTTGACCTACACCCCAAGCCATTGCATCGGCCAAACCCTTCTAAACCCACTACGATTCTGGATGGAAGCCGAGTGCGTGGGGTATACCAAAACAGAATTAATTGACGCCAAAAACTATAACCTAGAGGCTCGTATTTATCAAGTCACTGATATAGACATGAGAACGTGGCCATCCAGTCTCCTGACCCTTCACACAGCTCACTGAGGAAAATTGTTCCAGTAGATATAATTGCGGAAAGTTTTTCTTTCAGAAAACTTCCTTATCTGGGATTACTTTCGGCAATGTCGACGTGCACAACAATATTCTTGATATATTTGGCGGCTTTGAGTCCAGCGATGATTTTCAACTCGAGGTCCATAGGTGCAGCACTTTCTGTGAGTTATCACGATGAATACATCTTTCCTCTGAAAAGACTACACGTCTCCGCAATAATTCGTTCAATATCCTGAGCATTCCGATCGTCCATTCACTTTTCGAGACAGTGGCTTTATTATCTTCGAAGACGCTCTCCTGCCTGTTCCTCCACTCATTTTTTCATGAGAGAAGGAGGCCGTAAATAGAATGTCGCAGAGTTCTTGTCTGCGTTATGACTGCACCCTCTACTTGCTCGCTCCTGACCCTGTCACTTTGACTGCCTTTATATGTTTTTCACCACATTTTTTTGTGATGACTATGCTGCTGGGCTCATCTGTGTTTACAGGAACACATAACTATTACAGATATTGGCATCGATGATCGCGGCTGGATTACACTCATACTTGCGGGTGGCATTTGCCTCGCGCCTCCGAGAATGCGATCAAAGTGAATCGCGATTATTTTGGTGTGGAGTTTTCACACAGGTGAACTGCTTACCTGTTTAACTAACTGCTTATGGTTCACAAATTTCCGTGCCTACTTCTTCTTCTATTACCGCCCATCGCCAACTCAAGCACCCTGTTCTGCGAGAATGTCCCCCTGACGATTTTTCAAATCTTGTCAGCAAACTGGAACCCTGAACTTCTGAAACTGACACTACATTCTCTCTAGAAACAGCTAAATCGGACTGGCTCTCATACTTAACCCCTGATTGAAAGGAATATGGAGAGCTTTTCCCGCACGTAGTTGCCAGAAGGGCGAAAAGTGCTGGAACTCTTTTTCGCTCCCATTACATACGGAAACTATGAGAACGCGCTAAATCTAAGTTACTGCTCCTGCCAGTCGTTGCGCCAAGACTGAAACACCGAAAGCCACGACAATAGGCAAAGAAAAGCGAAAAAAGCGCGACGATATTGCTTGGGCCGAGACAACCTCAAGGGGACTCCTAGCATATCTCTCGAGCAACTAGTGCCACTGACTGACAAGGTTCTGGGTCACCGAAGAAAGTGACGACGGATTTCAATTCTGAGACCTTGAATCCCACTGTATAACGTTGCTGAATAGTGTTTCTATATGAAGTGAACAGTTATTTTCTAGATCGGCTCCTTTACTGGTTCGATGGTTATGTTGATCGTGAATTTGAACCAGGTGTTCAAATCAGCTCCACCATGTCGATAATGACGCTAAAATGTATAAAATGTCTGTATATATTGTCAAGCACAATCTGACGCAGTCGTCAACGTCACTGCAATAAACCATTTCTACATTTCTATCGTAAAAATGAAAAAGGGATTTCAGAAGGCTAAAACTCCCTAATGTATAAATGAAATGTCAAACCTATAGCATTGAAATTTCAATTTTCTCAAGGAAATCAGTGGTTATATGACTCGCGTTCATGAAATCACCCAGAATCACGTCCCATGTACGTGTATACATGACGTAAATACAAATCAGTTTTCCTACATTCGAATCGGTTCCGTTGCCAGCACTGTTGATATGAAAATGTTCGCAGTCCCCAGCCAAATGTTCAATTTCGATTCAAATTCCGAAACGTTTGTAAATACAACCTGACAAGTGGATCGTTAGAAGCTCATAGCCCAAGCTCAAAATATAAGCAGCAGGAACACAAAATCGATGAGTTGATGTCAAAAGGTTTCCATCTGAAAAACACCCGAAGACCCTTAACTGTAGCCAATGACTTGGAAACGAAGGATTTGAGTGAGTTCCTTCAACTTTGTTGATACTTTATTGCATCTTATCACACCACCAGTTCCTTCTCTTGACGTCATCCTACTACAGCAGTTTTGACCTCCACCTATCTCATTACACGTGATCGCAACTATTCACAGACAGGATGCATGTACATACATACATACACTTTGAGGCGGGGCCATCGATAGTGGCCTACCTAGCCTTACCACAAATACGACACATTGTATAACCCAACACCCTAACCTTACCTACTGCACCACTTCGTCAGAAACCTTTCAATCAGACTCTGAAGTCTCAATAAGTCCAATTTGATATAATGAACAGCTCTACCTCGCAGCATATCATCCCCCACACCTCGGAGTCTACAGTGATTCTACAAAATATACTTTGTGAATTCATCTACTCGATGATATTAGAAAGAAAAAGCTTCGGATATAGATGAAACAGATTAGTTTCCTGGCTGGTGAACTCCATTTATCCCTTTTCACACTTCTTGTGAAGTATTCAAGAAAAAAAGGAAATGAAGTTCAAAATTCAAATAAAACTATCTATAACGGAATTTCTCACCCGTCGTTATCCTATCGACCATAAAAAATTCAAAAAATAGAACAACTTCTGTTGACGCAAAACGCAAACCAAACATACCTAACTTTGAGTTTTCTTCCCGCTTTCTTGCACCCGTAGAGGAAACACCTGCAACTTGGAAAATATTCAGTAAAGGACGAGATGATTCATTCGTAATTGATTGAACAAATGAAGCCTGCAAGAAAAAATCCGACCTTATCAAAGAACATTGTAATTATTTAACGTTCGATAAAAATTTACGGAGTGTAGAGCATCGAGTATAATAGAGCATGGCCAATGTTACCTCGACCGTTGAAATCTTCTATCGAAAAGCTCGCTAACAATAAACGAACGAACGAACGAACAAACAAACAAACAAACAGAGAAACAATTGAGAAAGTAACTCTCTGAAACTGTACTCTGTAAAATCACATGAGAAATTTTGCGGTAAAAACATTAGATTTGACATAACAATCCTCTAGATTTCTACACTAAAACCTAAAGTAGAAACTGCTAAACTGCAACGTAAAGAGTGAATGGTAGCCCTAAAAAGGACATCACAACGTCTCCGATTTCTTTGAAGCACTTCAGAGGCCGCTCACACAGTAACCTTTATCCTTTGAAGTGAAGGTGGCTGTTTTGAGAATACGTCTCTTGCCTGGCGAAATGCTCGCTGAATGCGATCCATCACATAGGCCTTCGTAACACATCTGCAAATTGATGGCTGGGTATCAGTTGATTTTGAATTACAGTTTTGATCATTCACTTCAACCTAGACTATAAGAAACAATAAACATTATAGTGAAACCCTACTAATCATAAAAATTGTGCTATTGTGTTTGCAGCACAAAATCTAATATTACCGAAGAAGCTGAAAATGTCTGAACAAGTTTCTAATGTATCGGTCACGGACAGAGATGTAAATGTAGAACAAGCAACAAAGCGGAACCGACTAGGATGTGACATACACCAAGGTCAAGATAAAGCAGGAATCAAATTCTACCGTACGGTTCCAAAATAGCCGATGACAGTGAGAACACGACAAAGATATTTAAAATTTGTAATTATGATAAGCAAGTCTCAACCACAAAAAGCGAGCATGACACAAACGGTTCACGTATAGGTTCAACAAGTCCAACGTTCTCTACACGGTGCAGCAGCTAGCAAGCAGGGAAAATTAAGTAAACATAAAAATAACTCCGACGTAGCAAATTTAAAGGAAGTGATGAAGCCTCGACAGTTAATAGTAACCAAGAACTAGTGAGAGAGAAACGGTAAGGGAATAGAGGACTCATAGAAAATGGACTTTCTCACCTTGAAGAAGATAAAACAAATAGGCAATTTTTATGAGGAATCTGGAGAGGAAGGCTGAGCGTATGCCGGGAGTCGGCAGGTTCACAGAATGATGAAATAATGATTGAGGATTAGTAAATTACAAGTTCGTGCTACGTTAAACTTTTCAGAAAGTGGAGACTCGACTCAATAGATTACTCTTGAGAAAGTTCAAGCGGATTGTGCCAACTCATAGTCGTTTTTCTCAAGGTTTGCACGACTCAGAATGGAGTGAGTAAAGGGAAGGGTGATCCAAAAAAAACAATTATATAACAGTAACAGATTTCAACCTGGCAGTATTATTCCGATCGAAAGGCTCCTCGATAAAAACTTTATAGATAAAAGTATCTGGCGACATTGATCTCCTGAAACAAAAGAGCTCATAAAGCAGCTTTAATGAGAGAAAAAAGCCATGAAGAGCTAAGAGCACTCACCTCGGAAATACATGGGCATGGCGTATAGAAATAGCTACATTTTCGAAATCGAATGAAGCGTAGTAGTGGAAGAACCCAACCAATAGTTCTCCAATTGTCTGCTTATTCCCAGGTCGATCTAAAGTCATTACCCATGCCAGAGAATAATGCTAGATGACGTCAGCAATCCAACTACAACCATTGCAACCTCACTTGGTAAAAAATTCAATGGTTGAAACAAGTTCAGCTGCTTTAGAGGCGGAGTACCAGCAAACCTCTCAGGATACAAATGCTGCAAAGATGAAAAGAGTTCTACAGCATAATAATGAATGTCGAATTGTTTAGGTATTATATTACGTACTTGAAGATTTGGTAGCACTGCTGGATGCACTCCACATTGGAAATAATGCAAGACAAGGAGAATCAGGGAGTAACTGTAAATTCGCAAATTAATAAATAGCAAATAAATATGAATACAATGAGAATTTATGGAAAGAAAGGATAAAGAAATCACAAATTCTTTATGTCGCACTGCGATATCCCATTGAACGGGGGTTTTTCAAGAAGGCGCAGCGCATCACACGCATTTCTTTGGACAGGTCAGGCCAGGGCGTCATTTTTGTGTGCTATATTTTGCAATGCTGAACTTGCAACCTCACTTATTACCCACTCTTTTCTATGACCTATCCATGCGGTGAGAGAAAAGGAGGAGTAGAGCACCCGACCATTACTAGCATACCAATACTGCATTAATCTTGCGAAAATCATATTTTTCACTTATGTTATGGCGATTCTATTCCTGCAATTATTTCATGTTGTGAATCCCATCCCGGTGCACCGTACTCCCTACATAAGTTGCGTGGAAAAATGAATAAAACCAACCACCAAAAAATGCACAAAAAACTTTGAAACTAAAGTACGCGAATAGTCAGATCTAGTCACCTATTGAATGAGCCAGTCGCAGCATCTCCAATGCCGTTTGTGATCGCCCAGTGTTTTACTAAAAGGCATACTGCTGGGAATCGTTGATCCAAGCTGAAAACAATGGATTAAGATATCACACATGCAAGAAGTATAAAAAACGAAGTGGAACTCACAGAGAATAGTAGTGAATCAAATGGGAATTGTAGATGCCAGCAACGTTGTTAATGTTAATATCTAGATCAAGTTCCTCATATGGTGGATACAGAGCCATTTTAATGATAGGTACCTGATAAGGTGATGCTGAGGGTCATACCAATGAAAAAACGTTGAAGAGAACATTACAGGAGAGAACATTACGAGAAGAGTTAGCAGGAGTTTCTCAAGATTCAAAAACGAAAAATAAAGTAAAAAAAGTAAAAAGATAGATAGAAATAGACATAAAGAAACGGTGCATACCTTAGCAGGGATCACTTCACTTTTTCGGACGATCTGACGTAATGATGGCTTCCCTCTAATTATAGTATTCAAACGGCGTAAAGTTTTAATTGCCGCACTAAAAACTTTCAAAAGTTACCGAAACTTCTACAAGGGAAAAGAGGAATTTTTCGGCTCCTAGACGATAACAGCAGCAACAATAACAAATAATAACAAGAGGAAACAAACATTCGTTCAGAGGAATAAACGAGCTCCACGTCCATAGGAATACATAGACACAAGTCCATATCAGAATTATAACTTCCACAACCGTTTACCGTTGATCCCACCGCATAAAGTTCGATGGATTTATGAGGAAATGCCTAGATTGTTGATCGCTCGGAAAAATAATGAGAAAATGCTGTTGAGCTGGAGGTAATCACACAAATACCGGTGTGAACTCAGCAAGTAACCGATTGCGAACTTCCATTTTCCAATTGTAAACATCTTCAGTCTGAAAATGAGGTGTTTTCTGCAAATAAAACTGCTCAGTTCAATGAAACACTGTGCCTAGCAAGATGGACCCTAACAAAAAGTCATAAGCGTTTCGAAAGAGCTGCGATTAATAAAGCATTTCTTAAACTAACCTGTCGATTGCACTCGTAATGCTTCCATATTTCCGCATCAAGAACGTTGAACTCGTTTGAATATCTTTCTCTGAAAATTCGAATCGGTTTCATTTAGAGCAATATCCCAGAAATTTTGTAAACACCAGACAACAATGGCACCTGGTAATGCTAGCATTTTTGGAGGGTCAAAGAGCGATGATTATAAAAATCTTAAAGCACTCCCATAACAGCAGCAAATTACGAAAGTTTGGCTTGAATGAAGAGCTTACCGACAAGCCAGGGATGATAGGGAATTTGGAGTTCTGAGCTCCGTTAACAAACGAAGATCATGGACACCGTGGTCTATCATAAGTACTCCGGGATTAGGTGGGCCGGACATCTTATGCGACATCGCACAGGGCCGTTTCGACTAGATCCCTTGGGGCGTTAGACGATCGCCAGGACAACCGTCAGCGCGATGGTCGCACTTCTTTACGAGAGCTTTGAACGAAAGGAATGCTATGGCTCGTGTCCCTCGAGCGAGGACGCGACAGGGACGAATGGAGACGTTATAGCGTTCGAGGAAATCGCTGATCAAGGAGACAGCAATTGATAGGTGATATGAGCTGCCTGTCTACATAGAAACAGTGATCGGACAAGATATAATATAGACAAACCGCAGGAAGCAAAAAAAGATGTCCCACTCAGTGATTTACAGCCTTCTGAGCACTCTTAAGAAAACACCCACCACTTTACCAATGTGCAGCAGTTTTTGAGTTGACTTTATTCTGAAGCATAATTGTAATCAAAGATGACTCTCCTACTGCAGGTTCAACAAATTCAGTTTTAGAGTATAGTTTGCTACGCACCGTTGTTCGCTTTCTTACTAGAACTAACCAATAAGTAGCCTGTACGGCACCAACCAAATTTCAGCGGGTAGGCCCGTCAGGCCCACCTACCAGCCTGTTACTGTTTCTGCTAGTTTGTTCGGAGAAACTTCCATTATGATAGTGGGATGGCAATTTTTNTTTTTCTGACTAAAGATGAACATGCACGGATGATCACTTCGTGATTTTAAATTGGTGCCGACAAATTCTGTCGAATTATTGAGACTTATTCAAGTATCTATGAGAAAGACATCACAGAAACACATTTAGACAGACCTGTACTCTTGAATTTTGCCAGGAATAGGGGTCGCGGCAGGATTGAAATGTACTCCAATAACACTGCTCTCAGAAAATGGAGGCAGCACTCGGTCTATACAATAAAAGTACAATTACAAATGTCATAGGACAGGTACTTTCAAAAAGCGAACAGCCGTTGGGCGCATGGCATAATCAAGTCTCGAATAAATTGCGAAACGAGGACGAACCGTTAATAGAAGCAGCGGAAGGGGCCTTGGGCAGTGGAGTTGTTGAACCTTGTGAGTTTGATGAAGTGCTGGAAATGTTGAGCGAAGGCTGAGTATCCTCGCTCTGGAATACAGAAAAGCAAGTTTGATCAAATAAAAACTAAAAACAAAAAAGCACAAGAATAGGAAGTCTCACGCCAATCCATCTATAGCGAACATTATCAGAAGGTAAGCTCACCTTAAACGTGCGCATGATCACCTCTTCACAATCATCATCGTCGTCCAAACATATAACACTTAAAGATGAGCGAGCTGCAAATGAGAAAGCCTAAGGCCCCAAGAGGAATTCTAAGGGTTATGCATGAACTGTAAATCGCTCACATGAACTTGATAAAGGAGATATGTAAGTGAAGTGTAGGCCATCCTCATCATACTCGTCTTGATTCCACTCACCAATGCCATTTGTTGAAGGTTCTGCTTGACAGGCCTTATTTCTTTTTGTAGGACCAGTCAAATCATCAATAGTGATAATATCGTCAGATATTTTCCGTTTCAATGTGGTGCCAGACTGTGCTTGCTAAAAATATAAATTTGTTGATTATTAACGCTCTTATAACAATCAGCTAATATGTATTATTGCAGGGATCGTATTAAGAAGGATGAAAGGGTGACTGGAAAGAGACATACAGAAATGTTTGAAACAACCGACTAGACAATAAGTGAGTCACAAGCTAGAATACGCGGTTGACCGAAACACTCAAACACAGGAGAAATCAGGTATGAATTCCAGTGACAAGCGTTAATCAGGGAAGAATATACAGTTGCACGACTAACTACGCATTTCTTAGATGACTAATTTATGACGAGAATGGGTTTTCGAAGCAAAAGCAATCTGAAACAGTACCTGGGTGAATATTGTCCCATTTGCAGCCGTGGATCTGGACGAGGTAGCAGCATTGAACAACTTCCGCTCTCCATATGATTTCCGAAGCTCTAAGCGAAGCTGACGAGCCCAAGCTTTTTCAGGAGGATTTGCATCGAGCACTGGAACCTGAAGGGAATGAAGTGAATGGTACAATTTTGCAATTTTGGAGGAATTTGATGCTTTCAGAAACCCAAATTTTCCACAAGATTCGGAACACTCACAGTTTTCAATTGACAAAACTGTTCCGAATTAAGCGCATTTTCAATTGAACGGCAGACTTCGATTGCCTCGTCGATTTCAGATTCAGCGGTGGCCTTCAAAAGTGTTAAATAATAAAAAGATTGTTGAGAGCTGAATGCAATTCGAGATATTTACCCATTTCCTGCGAATGCTGGCCATGGTTTGCCGGCTTAAATACGACTGGAAAAATGAAATCAAATTCCACGCACAGTTCGAGTCTGCTTCCCTTCAAGAAAAATAAGGAATCCTTCCAACTTAAGAACAATTTTAGGAAAAATCGATAGAAACTGCAAATGAAAAAAAGTCCGTTTCACAAGAAATATCTTCCAGAAAAAATATTATTTGTGCACACGTGAAACTTCGAATTGCAGTAGCCACCCCTTGAACTAAGGGTACTAAGAACCACTTGAACTCGATGCTGTCTCTTAAAAATCCATCGAAAAAAAGAATGTCACAGCAACTTTAACAATAAAGGCAAGGAAGAGCAGATGAGTCATCTGACATGGACTCTTGTAAACCATGCCATACCGTATTGGAAGTAAAATTAGGAGAACTCACTCAATACTCCTGCCTATGCCCTTTGCTCCAAGCACTATGAATGGAATATCACCGAATGCAACGTGAACAGTATGCTGTTCGGTACCGCCCGCGCCTAAACATACGATGCAGAAAACTACATTGAAAGAAGAATCCAAACAGTTAAAGGGTGCACAATGGGAGATTCAAAATCTCAACTGAATCATTCGAAAGGGCAACATTAAGGGGAGCTGGTCGTCACTAAACTTCACTCAAAGCAACACTTTAAGAAGGATGAAAAGGCTAGGGCAAGTAAAAGAAGCTCCCTCTAATGCACTCCTAAAAATGATTCTACTGCTCCTGATTGCTCTCGGCATCTTTAGCTCATGCAGGAACTAGTTTGAAATATGGAGGAGCGTTTCAGAAGCCTGGATCATGGGTATACTTCACCTGTAGGCTCTATCAGAGGCAACATAGGGGTAACTACAACGAATAAAGCTATATAACCTTCACTACCACAAATCACTACAATTTATGAGTATATTTGATACAAAAAATGTACATACCGTTTAGATCGCAGGTCCGATCCATTTGTAACTTCTTTCCCCATTTCTCCGCCAATTTACGAACAAAATCAAATCTCTCGCTTCTAAAACAGCGTATAATGAAATGAAGAAAGGATATCGAAGGAAAACATTGGAAAGAAAACTCACAACGTAACGTTGTTTTTATTCTGCTCATGTCGACGTTGTTTTCGACGTTGGTTTTTATTACCCATTGGAATAAAGTTATAAAATGCAGGATATTTAATGTTGAAATCAATTATGAATAAACGTAAGATGGACTAGCAGAACGGCTTGACAGCCCAGTAAATTTTGAACAATCAAAGTTCAGTAATTTTACAAGTCAAACTGACTTTGTTTAAAGGAGGCCGCTGTGCGCTGTCAACTCGTCCATGACCGGAAACCTTGCCACGCCCACTCTGTTGTGGGCCGTGCGCGCGCGTTTGAGGCGATGGATTTCTAAGTGCGAAGCGACGGTCGAGGTAGAACTGAGATCTTCTGAAGTGTTTTTCCCTCAGCTGGTATGAGAAATGCTCTATGCATCTCCAGGATGCTCCATGTGGAAACGTTTTTAGGAAAACTCATCTAAAGGGGATCTTGAAGAAGCAAGCTAACCTCGTTGCTTGTCTGAGGAAGCGCTGAAAAGGGATCGGTCATGGACTGGGAATTTTATAGCAAACTCTTTAAGCTAATATTATACTACCTACCCAACGTTGATCAGAAAGTCGTGGGCGGCTAGAACGAACATAGGGATGGTAAGCGAGTGGCTGCATACGAATTAAGCGGCAAGAAAAGCTCCCAGATCGACTGAAAAAACCATATAGGATCAAATCGACAAGTATCGGCACGCCAATGAAGAGATGAGGACGGAAATAAGAAAATGATGTGAAGACTGTAGCAATTATCCCCATTTCATTCACAACGTCAAGCGATACCCCAGAAAGTTACTTCCTCTCCACCTTACACCCTTATTAATAATTACTCATTACTGGGGCTGAATCGAAAAAATTTAGCCAACTCCTAACTTTTAGGTGATCTGAAAGCATCAACATCTTCTGTACTCCGACCCGATTAAACACCATAGGTCATCCTATTGATCCAAAGGACATACTAATAAATTTTAGAGTTAAGCACGGAGCGTTGAGCGGGTAGCGTCAAAGCCGCGTTAGCGTACGCGCCGCCGCCAGCGATGTTTGCGTTGGAGCATGTTATTATCCAAGCGGAGCTCCGCAGAGCTTCGCGAAAATGATATTCTTTTACTACATTATGCTGTAGTGGTCAAAGATGAAACAATCAAACCCATACACAAAAAAAGATGAGAGAAGTGAGTAACACACCCACAAAGACTCGATCGAAAAATTATTCACCACACCTGCGGTATCGACCAGTGTTGTCAGCGGAGCGCCGGCTCCACCGGGCGCTCAGCACATCTGGGGAAATATTTGGCAATTATCGAAATCGGCGTTTTTTCCCCTACTTTTGACTAATCGAGGGTTTTGAATACTGTGGATAATTGAACCTATGTGAAAGAGGCCAAAGGCCGTATGTTTGTCATTCCCTCCCTTGAAAAAGAACGCGACGAAAGCTTATGGAGGCGAACTACAACATTGTACTGTAACAACATGGCTGCTTTTATAGTCCACGATGAGTATGTGCGACTATAACGAGCTCGACTGGCACGCGCCACACGGCTGGACGAGCCGTCGCTTATCAATGAAGCGCGGATTGGCAGTAGGGCACATACAGGAAAGAGGGGACCGACTAACGTGCGTCCGAGGATGCGCGCGGCAAATTGGCGCCGAAATTCGTGGTGATTTGAACGACTTCAGCGCCTATCATTGGGGCCCAAATTTGAAGTAGAGTAGATTGATAGGGTCGGCTAACCCTACTCAAACACTGTACTTAAAGTTTGTGCCCCAATAATAGGCGCCCCTCCACCGGCTTCAACTTACTTCGTGTTACTGGTTACAGGTTTTTGGTGGAGCTGTGTGGGTTGAGTGTAGAATCCAACAAAGACTAAAAAACTCGCTACAAATATTACGGCGAGTCTTTTTTAACCACCTCGCACATCGAACCGCTAGAATAGAATTACAGGTATGATACGCTGCACGACTCAAGCACCTATGGGCAGCTAAACGTCCTTGGCTGGTGAAGAAGTTATACTAAGGGAGTATTTTCAACGAGCGCGATTTTTGAAATAGCCTCTTTGTTGCCATGTGGCCGGGTAATGACGATGGAGCCGATGGAGCAGAGAATTGATTGAGTACTTCACGTAGTCGAGCCAAGGATCAACAGTTCCAGCGACCATGTGACCTACGCCTCTAAAACTACCCCTTGTCTAAACCTTATAGGAGAGCGATTCCTATGGTGGTGGCTGGGGCGCCTGATGCACGAAGAGAGAGAAGGGTCGTTTGATGTATCGCAACGATGAATATTGATTCGTGAGATGATCCTTACTTAGCTTGCCTAAGGTATCCACCTTTGTTAGGTCTTATCCCAAATGGCGGGACTTGCACCTATAATTAAACATGCAGGATGCCACGTTTCTGACTATTTCAGCATTGAACAACAGCCACTTTCGCGGATGCTTGACTGCCTATACCATAGACGACACTTCACTACCGCCACTGCGACGCACCAGTTCGCGCAATGTGACCGGAGTATGAACGAAGAGACTCGAGCGGCATGCTACGCTGCCGCATCCAAGACGTGCACAGAGGAGTAGATGAGTAATTAAGATGCGCCTTGAATTGGGACAGTTTGAAGGATCAGGCCCGAGGCGGCTAGCAGGGTTCGTTGGGTCGCTCGCTCACTAATAATTCGAGTAATTTGGCTACCACTCTACCACCCC